GGGGGGGGGGGTGAGAGAGAGAAAGCTGGCCATGCGGTGATGTTCACGCGGGGGCGATGGCATGACGATGCTTGTTTCAAAGCCTACAGAGGGGAACATCCTTTGTGGAACGAAGCAGAACCCATGGCTAACGTCAGACAGGGGGTGAGTGCACTACAGATGGGAATCCACGCACCCCGAGTATCATGCACCGTGTTCAATCCCTCTCATACTGACGCAATTTGAACGGTCAACCATTTGGCGCGATCTGCTCAAGCGCAGGATCACAGTACACACGCACGCGTGCATCAACCTCTTTTATGCCCCACTGCAACATAAAGAACGACAGCCAACACGGCCTCCCGCCACCACACTGCCCCCGCGTGCCCCCCCCACCCCCACAGACCTGCAGCCGGAGTTTCGCTAGGTCCAGAGGGTTCGTCAGCCAGGACGCCGCCGCCGAAGCCGCCGCCGCGTTGCCCAGGGTCATCCACACCGGGAGCTCGGCCCTGGCCCCCCGCGAGCTCTGGCCCTCCGTTGTTGCCGTCGCCGCCCCTTCTGCTGCTCGAGCGTCCGTGCCTCCCTGCCCCCGGAAGTATGGATGTCGTTCTGATCCATCGAGGCACGGCAAAAAAGATGCGACAACGTCGATGGCTTGCTGAGCGTGAAAATGAGTAGTGGTGGTGATCAGGTGTTCACGTAACACAGCTCTCCCTTGGTTGGGAGCTATTCCAGGGGTGTGTGGGAGGTTCGTATGGTTTCTGCCGGCGATTCGAATTCATAACCGCCAAGCACGGCAGTGGTGCAGGGGGTACACAGCACTAGCTGCTTGTGAGCGACCACAAAGTCATCTTGCGTTCATGCTGCCCAGAGTTTGAAAGGTCTGTTCGCACATCGGCGCGCACTCAGAGAGCGGGCTTCGGCGCCATGCGTACTTTGACGGTACCGGCCACCGCGAGGTGCCCTACACCCCCAAGATGGGGGCAGCCGGTACAGTACTGAGAACGAAAGCACTCTTCCCAGTCAAAGAGAGGCCGCCCCCGCACTCAAAAACAAACCAAGGGCAAAAAAATCTACAGCCACGAGACCCGAAAAAACACATGGCACCTCCCTCTTGGCAAGTCACACTCTTTCGCGTTTCGCGCATCGTCCCTGCGCATATGCACCGTGCGGCGACCGTACCAAGCGGCCGCGCAGGGTGGCGCTCTCACCGATCAAGTCGCGGGAGGCCATCTTGGCCTGCTCGTAGAACATGAAGTACAGCGCCGAGAAGGGGCCAAAGGAGGCCAGCGTTGCCAAGTATCCCTTGAGAGAGGCGGGTGCACGCGGCCGGACAACGGCGCGGTTACGGAAAGAGGCGGACAAGGTCATTCGAATTTGTTCTAAGGGCATGCCCATACCGAACAAATGTAAAAATCCTCGGACCTAACCCTTCTAATCTTCTCGTGTCGAGGGCTTGGGGGCATAGGGTAGAGGGGTATTCGGCACCCAAAGAAGGCAAGATTGAGTACAACGGAGAGTGCTCGGGGGCAGGATCCGAGCAAAGGTTGAATGGATTTTCTTACTTGGGGAAACGATTCCATGACTGACAAAAGGCACCGACCCTCCCCCCCTTCAAGGAAGCTAGCTCACTGAAGGCTCTTTCTTCGCTGCCTCAGCGTACCTTGTATATCCCTCGGAGGCCTCCGGTTCTCAAAATTGTCTTGAGCGTGTCCGCGCTCCCTCTGTAAGGCGGCACCGACGCCTCTCTAACCCCGCTGCTGCTGCTGCCGCCGACGGCTCCGCCAGCTCTACATCCACCACTACTAGCTTCAGCAGTGGACACATTCTTGGCAGCGGCCACCTCCGCTGGTCGCTGGACTTGCAGCCTTTCCTTGACCACATCTACGGGAACGAATACCACGCAGCTGCCCCGGGGCAATGCGAACCCGCGGCGAGATGTCCCGCGTTTCCCGTCGAACGGAAGACGGGATCGAGATCGAGGGTCAACGGTACAAGGTGGGCCAGGTTATGGCGGCGTGGGCGAGGCGCGCTAAGCTCTGAAAGCACGAGGGGCGAACACGATATGCGATGCGCAAAGAAAGTAGCGCGTTTCAATATGACCCACAAAACGCCCGGCGGCAACAGGGCGGCTCAACGCGCGCCCGCGCTCCGCGCAGCGGGTCACCCGGATCACCTAGGGCCGAAGGATGTTTATTCTACCGAGCCTCCTTGTGTGTTTCTAACGAAGGAGGGTCTAACGAAGGCGAAGCTGCCTCAACGATCTACAAGATGCGCGTTTCAGACGCGCTCGAAGCAATCCGCGAGACACGAAAGGTAGGTCCACCAAACGCTGAAGCACTTCGAGCGACCGGCTGCACGACCCCCCCGCTAAGGCGCAAGTACAGCAGTACACCCTCCCCCTCCGCCATGTGTCAACCAAGGACGTACCACACAACTTCCGCCATCATTCCGGCGGTCAAGTGGGTCAAGATGCCCCCCCCTCCTGATTCCGCGTCGCCCCCGCCGATCGCCCCGCGGTCGGCGAGAAACTCTTTGGTCGCCTCATACGTGGTGAGGTAGAGGCACACCCCGGGCACTCCTCCGAACGTAACAGCACCTATGCCTCGATACAGCCCGCCTATGCCTTCCGTGCTGTTGGTCGGTTTGACCGGAGACAACGAACCACAAGAGAGGGCCAGGGCCAGAGGGGGGGGGGG